TCTTGTCACTGGTTAAACTATCTTGAGTCTGGTCAGTATCTAGATGGGTGACCAATTGGTAATACCAAGTTCTGTAAGCCTGGTTATACAGGTGGTGTAATGGTTAAAGGATCAGAATGAGAAATCAAAAAGTGAATTTTGAATTCCACTCTGGTTTGGTGCATACACTTACACAAAAATACCCTTGGGAAATATATGAATTCACCTCCCCTCAGCTATGGGTTAAATAGTAGGAATTGTATCTCAAAATCAGTTACTACAATATTGCTAAAAAAAAGAAAAAGAGGTAAGAATTATTCTTACAATTCAAAAATATATTTCAGCTTTAAATTGAAAAGGATGAAAGTCATAAAAATTCAATCAGTCATGGAATGAATCTGTCAAAAGTATTTGGTGACAAAATAAAAGGGACAAACATAAAGAAGGAAATTGCTAGTTTGCAAAACCTTTTCCAAAATTAAAATTATCTTTGTACATTTCCAGAATGCCAGAGAATGGATCATCTAAAATTCTCTGACAAAAATGAAATTAACACATAGAATTAGTTTAGCAGGATGAAAAATCTTTTGGAAGTATTTTGACACAAAACAATATTACAGACTTTATTGGTATTTTTAAATCCTTTCTAATAATATAAATAATGTGATCAGAAATAAAAATCCTTAGTTATTTTTTATATCTCATTTAATAAATTCTCTCAATCATAAAACAACTAATATAAATTAAAGCAAATTACACCATTTACTAAATTATATATATATATATATATATATATATATATATATGAACTTGATTCTAAAAACATATATTATACAACAAACATTTACTTTTGAATAGAACCCCTTTCTCTATGGATTACACTGATAGAACATTATACAATGAAAATTTCAGATTAAAATACAGTCAATTATTTTGCCAGGTTTAGATTATTGATCCATCTTCATTAAAGTAAAAATAAAAATAATTCAAGACAATATTACAAAAATAAGGGTTGCATTAAAGGTATCTACATTGTTGATGAATTTAACTGTTAATGACGTTAGTCTTCTTTCCTTTGTGAGTGAATTAATAAGGCATCAAAGTGATGTATTTCCACCTAGTAATAAAAAACTGGAAAGTTAAGACAAATTTATTACAGAATAAATGCAGAATGGCAAAATTAGAGAAATTTCTGAAGAAAAATATGGATTGGTACAAGTAGATTGCAAAATAGTTTAGAATTCCATTTTGAAAGTGAATATTTGGGATTATTCTACCTTGTCTGCCAGGTAAGCTAGGTAACAAGGCAATAAGAAGTATAAAAGGAAAGAAAATAAACCATTTTAGTCCAGTCTTCCCTCTAAGAAAGTCCTTGGGAAAGCTCACAATTTAGATTTGCTGCAGTTAAAATACACATTTTTTTCCTTTGACTTGAACAATGTCTATCTCTATCTACATATGCACACAAAACTATATTTTATCTCTTCTGGAATGTTATATATATATATGTATATATATTAAAATAATAAGAAAGAACAGCAAGATTTATTATCTGGTGCTCTTAGCAGTTATTTTTATTTTAAAAAAACAGTGCTCAATACAAACAGTAGAGCAAAATATTATAATTATTTTCTTTTTAAAAATATGGTTCCATTACAACACAGAAACTTTCCATGTTTCAAAACTGAAACTAAATTTATAAATTTAATTATAGAATTTAAACTTAAAATTCATAGTCTCGTTCCATTGTCAAGTGATGTTAGGAATAAACTTTCAAAGAAATTTAATTAATTTATAAGTGCAGACAATATTGATATTATGATTTGTTAAGGTTAAGGAAAATCTATTTTAATTTAGGGGTGGCTGGGTTTTAATTTCCCTAGACAGTTTATGCATCCAATATATGTTACTTACAAAGTCAGGTTAAGTTTAGGTAGGGTGGGGGTGCCTGCCAGCAAACATATACTTCTGTTATTCAGTAAGTCATCTGGGCTTTCAATGATAAAAAAATTTTGGCATTTTTACTCAGCCACTTAAATCATATTCTTATACACAAAGATTTTCTAAAAGGGTCAGTTAAAAATGTGCAAGACATATTTTTAATAATTAAATTTTATTCTTATAGAATTAAAGTACCATTTGACCTCCTAATAACTAATAAACTATACAATATTTTTACAAATAAATATATTAGAATTACTAATTAAAGATTGAATATAAAAATGTATGTTTCATCTCTATTCTTTATTATTTTATTTTTTCAAAATTAATTATTACTTAAGGAAAATATTTGACAGTGCCTTTCTTTCATTTAGTAAATTTTTATTTTTCAGAAACTTAATAATGCATAATTTTTCATGTATGCACAAAGGAGATGGGTCATTTAGTGACCTACAATCTGTCACTTTTCTTATTAATTTCCACTTTACTGTTGGTGATTTATTGGTTTCTTTTAATATTTAGATAGGGATGTTTGATTTCAGTATTTATTATTATTATTATTATTATTAAAGTAGGTTTGATGTTGACTCCACCTTCTTTAGAATTCATTCCATGTTCATCCAATGTAGAATTTAACTATGTCTGGATCTTCAATAGATGAGATATTGCATTGATAAATTATTGAT